AATATAACATATTATAATGCAAATATGCAACTCAACACCATGCATGCGGTACCGACTCATTGGTTCATTCAATCGAACCTGGATAGATCACTTACGCTCCTCCTGAGACATGATCTATCCCCCACCATTCTCCACAAAGGAGTACGGATGAATCACTTACGCTCCTCCTGAGACATGATTCATCCCACCAAAACACCATGATATGCACACACCAATGCATAACTAATATATTTAGGCACTCAACGTGCACACGATCCTCCTGATCATATCATCATACATCAATGCATATATGTACAGATATAACATACACCAACACCATATAAATCAATTCACACAGTGAGCAATCTCACATTCTAACACCAAGTATAAACACATCCCAACACTCGGGGAATACACGATCCTACTGATCACTGCACCATAATCATATACATGATACACCCATCATTCATTTTAATTAAATTAGATATTAAACGAGTTCACACTCTAACACCATATATAAACACATCTCAACTCAGATTCCCAGCCTATTCTAGTACCAATCTTGCCTATTACCGTAAGCAATCGGTTTCTAATTCCTATTCCCAAAATCATCACCTACACACTTTATCGTTACCTCAAAAGCCATACAGAACTTTCCCTAAAAACTGTAAAACACCCTATATGCTCTATATGCCAAATCAACCCAAAACACCAATTCGTTAACATTGACTTATACTCCATCACTATCAATTACTAGTTATCATCAAACACAAACACACCAATAAACATTATACTTACCAATTATCCTATACTTCCTACTCTAGAACCAACATTACGATACATTACCGACACTTCAGAGTCACTCTGAATCTCTCCAAGGTCCTAACCATAGTCATTAACGACACTATAGGGAAACAACACATAATTTTCCCCAAAGCTATAATCATGGTCATTACCCACACTACAGTAACAACACAGAATCTCACCAAAACTCTATTTATATTTACTATCAACACTGCAGTAACAACATATAATCTCACTAACATCACCATAATATATATACACCAAATTCACCAATACCAATCAACAATTCATCAATATCAAGCATCAATTTAGCATTAGCAACAACAATAACAAGCATGCCAATATAAAACTTCATAGATCGGAATTTTCCTACGGGGTTAAGGACTCCCCTCTACCTATACATGTATATACCATCCCAATCAAGTTTCTCCCCCCTTACCTTGTTAGTCGGTTGATCGATGAAAGAATCCTCCAAGGTTTGGCCAATTCTGATTTTCCCCTGTATCCTTCGTTCTTTGCTCCCTTTTCCGTTCCCTTTCCGTTCTCTCCTTTCTATCGTTCTTTTTCCACTTTCTCTAACTTCTCACAATGTATCGTAAAACTACTAATCCCTCAGTTTCTATTTTAATTCTCTAATCCCAATAATAATAATAACTTAATAATAATAATAATAATAATAAAAATAATAATAATAATAATAATAGTAATAATAGTCCTATTATTATCTCACCAAAATAATAATAATGTTAATAACTTAATAAAATAATAATAATAATAGTAATAATAATCCTATTATTATCTCACCAAAATAATAATAATGTTAATAACAATAGTAACTATAATAAATATAATAATAATAATATTCCCACCAATATCAATATTATACACTATATTATTATATTCACCAAAACACCACCAATAATCCTCCCATATCAGGGACACCCACCAATAATAATATTCATACAGATGATAATAATAATAATAATAATAATAATGATAATAATAATAATAATAATAATAATAATAATAATAATAATATAATACTATTGTAATATTATAGTAATATTCAACATAATAATAATAATAGTAATACACCCAACAATAATTATAATTATAATAATAATAATACTAATGATAATAATAACAATTATATTAATACTAATAATAAAATAATATTAATAATAATAATCTTAATATTAATAATACTAATATAATATTACTAATATTAATAATACTAATCATAATAATACTATTAATAATAATAATAATAATAATAATAATAATAATAATAATAATAATAATAATAATAATAATAATATTATCTCACCAAAATAATAATAATAATAATAGTAATACTATTATTATCTCACCAAAATAATAATAATATTAATAATACTAATAAATATAATAATATATAATAATAATAATAATACCCCCACCAATATTACTATTATTCATTATATTATCATATTCACACCAAAAATCATAATAATATAATAACTATATTAATAATAATATTATATTCTCCATATTAATAATATTACTACAATTATTAATAATAATCATAAATATAATAATAATAATAATAATAATAATAATAATAATAATAATAATAATAATAATAATACCACCACCAATATTACTATTATTTCTTATATTATTATAAACTCACCAAATTACCACCAATGATCCTCCCATCTCAGGGACACCCACCAAACATCATCAAATACACCCTACCAAAGGGAATATCAACATATAATATTTAAAACAATAATAAAATGACTAAATTAAAATGGGTGTTACACCACTGATCTGTCCTGATCAGAAGGGGATCACGGGATGACCACACTCTGTTGGACTGCTATCTGTTCACCGGTGATGAGGAGGAGAAAGGGGGTGTACCTGCAAGACACTCTGATGCCAAAGTAAGGAGTTGGACAGAGTGGGAGCAAAGTACGGAAAATGGGTAAGAAGTGAATTACCTGACCCTCTTGAGGAAGAGGGTATTTATAGAGAGACCTCAGCGCTGGGCCAACGGTCACTTGTGTTGGGCTGGATGGCCAGACCCAACCCAGGTGACTGCTAGGGCTTACATGGCGTAGTGAAGACCAGGATGTGGTCTTCGCCTTAGTCCAACTGTCCCGTGGTCTCCGGAAAGTGGGTTTGACCTGCTCTTTCGGAGGGGGGCAGTTGGGGGATGACGTGTCCCCGCGGAGGGGAGCACGTGGAGAACGTGCGCATGGCACGTTGTTCTCCCCGCGGAGGGGAGCTCACGCGGTTCCCCTGAGGCACGTTGGTCTCCCCGAGGAGGGGAGCACACGGGGACATGGGAGAGCCACGGGGTCTTGCTCGACGACATGGGAATACTGCCCGCGGAGGTCGGTACTTGGTCGTGCGGGCGATTCTCTTGCCCTGCGTGGTTGGGACGGTTCTCCTTCGCAGGGAGATCATTCTAGCATGTCGGGGATCTTGTGCTCGACGCGGTACCCGGACCGGGCAGGGCCTGGTGGAACATTATTGGGCTGGGCCAGCATAGTTCATCCCAGGGCCCAGTCCAGAACAATTATAATAAAAAAAATATATTTATAATAGTCTAACGCTTATGATTAAAGATGTGTATGGGCTAGTCTGCCCCTTTAAGGTATTAATGATTATTTAAAATTAAAATTTATAAACACTAGGTAATTTCAATATATATATATATATATATATATATATATATATATATATATATATATATATATATATATATATATATATATATATATATATATATATATATATATATATATATATATATATATATATATATATATATATATATATATATATATATATATATATATATATATATATTTAAAATCAACTATTTGTGATATATATTTTTTAAACCAACTATTTGTATTTATAGTATTTATGTAATTAGTAAGTACATATTTTACTAGCCCAAACCTTCATGTATTTATTGTATTTATAGTATTTATGTAATTAGTGAGTACTATTTGTATTTATAGTATTTATGTAATTAGTAAGTACATGTATTTGTGATATATATGTAATTAGTAAGTAAAATTTGTTATAGACAAAATTATAAATAATGAAAATATAGTCAATCTTAAAAATAATTTTTAAAAGGGAATAATTTACTGTCCAAACCTTCAAATCCACATAGAATAAAATTTAAGAGAATTTTTTAAAGCATTCTAGACGTTTCTTTTAAGTATTTCGTAAAATTTTTAAAATATTTTAATTTTTAGAGATGAATTTTTGGACATATTAAATACATATGTTTCATTCGTTTTTAAATTACAACCCAATTTTATAAATAAATTTATTTTAAAAATGCATTTTAAAAAAATTTTCAAAAATATATTTTTAAAAATAAAAAATCCATTGCCATATCCGTCATAAAACACCATGGTGCCACCATTGCCAAAAATCTGCCACTGCCATCCACTATGGCAATCAGGTCTAAAATTACCTGCCAAAGCAAATAGCAATAATAATGAGTTATTCTCAACTTTCAAAGTTTCCATGCTGCCCATCGATGTACTCCCAACCTCAACGAGAACAAATGCAAAATTATCACTCTAATTTTTAGTTTTTAAAAATGTATTTCTAAAATAAATTTATTTATAAAATTGGATTGTGACTCAAAAATAAATAAAAAATGTATATTAAGTATGTCCGGAGAATCTTTATTAATTACAACTATCTATAATTTTTTCTCGGCATAAAACAAGGAGAAATAGAATTTTATCTTCCTTTCACTTTCGCTTTTACAACAACCTTAAAATCATTACAATTAGATTGAGGGGATACTTAAACAGTTAAACACACATCGTATATTGCATCAGGCAACATGCAAATCTCCGGTATGCACATGCTAATGGGAGATTCTTACGTATTCAAATGGTTCAAAAAAAAGTTATAATGTGTAGTTTCTAACCTACACATAAGGATTATGATCCCTTATTAGTTAGGACTTAAAATACGCATCTTGACAAAGAACCATCTTTGAGCTGGCCAAGATGCAGAAGAGAAACTTGGCAAGATCCCGACTCGACTTTAAGACGTAAGGGAGCTGTCCCATTGATCAATCTGTTTTGAAATGATAGATTCTATAGCCAGGATCAACTATGAATTGGAAAAAGCTATATGTCAGTGAAAATGACCTGAAACATATTTTCAAATGGTACAAGAATTGATATACGAGATCAATCAACAGCCTTTGAGGTGTGTCCAACGCTGTCGAAGCTATCTTGAGGTCCTTGAGATGGAGAATACCGGCTCGAAGAACTCTCATCTATGATGATTCTATCACTCATTACCGAATGCTTGCCCTTCCTCCCTCCAGATGTGGAATCCTACATAAATCAAAATGAAGATTTGTAAGTTTAAATAGTGACACTAGTTTGTTTTCTTAACATATATTTATAATCATCGGTAGCAAAATGATAGCGTATTATGCATTCGTCATTGACATGACACCGATACATGTGATTACATTAAATTAATTCATTTTCTCAAATTATTATTAGTGTTGATGTTTTAGTGTCGTGTCTGTGTCAATGGTTCATAGTACTTTATAATCTACCTGTTGTGTTGATGATCCAGGCATCTTAAGTTCAAGTTCTGTAGCCACATCAGGAGACACACTACATCTTTTGGCATCACTAGGTCTTTTATGACCTGGTGACTTGCTTCGCGACTCTTTTCGATTAAACTTGTGGGATGTAGAAGCATACTGAGCTGATGGCATCTCAATTGGAGGGTTAGCCGGAGCCGAGAATGGAATGTACATTGAGCACATACTTGGAATATGACCAGCATTCGGGTTTCCAAAGTAGGGAAAAGGTTGCATATGTGGGTGAATGGAAACTGGAGCAGGAGGGATTGGCATATGAACTGGATATGGATAAGGGCTACTCATGACAACAGAATGATCCATTGCAGTCCATGGAGGCATGACTCTGACTCTCTGCTGATACTGCGAATTAAGATTTTCTATATCAGATTTTAACGACGCTTTCTCTTCTCGGAGTTCATTCTTTTCTTGGATTAGCTGTGAATATAAAATCATCTAAATAAATGAGCTGCAAATTAAACAAGGTTAATCATGAAGACAATTTGAACAAATTATAGAACCTTACTTCGCGCGACTCTTCAGAAAATGCTTTATGTTCCGTTTTCAGCTTATCAACTTCAGCAGTTATGTCCTTCAACACTTGTATTGTCTCTGAGATGATGGTTGCTTTGTCGTTCCGCGGTCTATCAGGATCTGTATCACGTACACAAACACAAATATCTCAACAGAGTAACAACCACCAATAATCACTACAAATCCTATTGAAAATCTGATAGCAAGTAATTCCACGGATCTTAAACTAGACTCTGATACAATGCTACGAAATATAGTTAGGCCTAACTTATCCATACAAAACCGGCTTCTAGAGTGAAAATTATCTCCACTTCTAGAAAGCATAATTCATTATGCTTCAGAGCAACCAAACATGTTAGAATCAATTCTATGCATCCAAAATCAATACAGAGTGCTTCAAACGTGAAACCAAACAAACACGAAGATGAATTGACTGACCTAACGTGTTTCCCAATTCATGAAACTGATCATTCAATCGATCCCTCCTGATTTTCTCACGATCAGCCTTCTGAACTTTTCTAGCGGCAGTTGGATCATGAGATTCCACCTCACTCCTCTCCCTAACAGACACAAACAGTTAATCCGTTACACATGTCGGAAAAAACGTAACCGTAATAACGGTCTTTTGATATAAAAACTATCAAAATCGAAGCATAGACAAACGAACGTTACTTACCTGACAGTGTGTTTGCGATTGGTGATGTGTTGCGGAGGTGAATCTGGCGGCGCCGTAGAGGATGGAGTTATGGAGGAGTTAAGCGGCGGGTGATGGTGGCGTTGGTTCATGTTGTTGGTATTCCGGTGAGAATTGAAGTGTGGTATGAATTAAATATTTAGAGTGGGGAGAAAGGTGAGATGGAAACGCACGCGTATTGAGCTTGTGTCTTCCACGAGCCACTCTCCAACCAATATCCAATTCCAAACACATGTTTTTTATAATTATTATTATTAATGTAAAACAAATTTCTACGTAACATTCCAAAAAAAAGAAATTATTGTCTTTATTTTAACAAGAAAAAAAAGAAGATAAAAAGATGAATATGCGATTTTAATATTTAAAATATTGTCTTCATAATATTATAGGATTATATTAATATTTATACGATTTTAATATTTAAAATTATTGTCTTCATAATATTATAGGATTATATTAATATTTATACGATTTTAATATTTAAAATATTGAATATTAATATTGATATTTATATATTTTTTTCCTCTTCATTCGAGTATGAGTCATGATCATGACGGTGAATATGGACTTGATAACATAGAATATAATTTTATACCTAAGATAAATGAGCATTTGAATTAATTATAAATTTTGAGTGTTTTTTTTTCTTCATTAAAATGTGATGTTGTTCAAATTTTTTTAATAATTTATTTTACTTTTTATTAGATAAATGAATGTGTGCACACTAAGGAAGAGCTTTCTCAATTTAAAGAAAGTTGTACGCATCAACTTGCCACATTAAGGAAGAGATTTTTTTTAATTGAATGTCCATTTTTAGAGAATATTTGGCCCATTGACAGATTATGGATGAAACACTAAAATAAATGATTTAATTGGATAACTTGATAACCATGCATGCAGATGAGTTAAGTATAAGGCAGATAGAAATGAAAATAGGTAGGGCAAATTTTGGGGTACGACAAGCCGTAAACAATCACACGACAACAACAAGATAACAATGATTACAACCCTACTCTGACTATAATCAATCATGCATTTAGCGCATTGTGAGTAGTTCTCACCCGAACTACTCATCTTATCAATCATCAGACGACATGTACAATAAATGATGTAATTAAACTTGCACATCACAACACCCATACCATATCGAATACATATCCACACACATCACTCAATTGTGTTAAATTATCTTATCATTGATTCATCATTAAGCATGTTCAATAATTCACGTAATTATTCATACATTCACACATTTAACATACATTATCACATCAATCAAACATGTTAATTTATCTCACAAGGCAATACCATAATGTATCTCTATGTGTTACCTTTCTAACGCTTTAAACTGCGCCTTAATCTGAGTCACGAAACTCAAGTTATGGCAAAAACAGTAAGTGAACCAATCTATTACACCCAGGAACCAATCTATTGTTCTCAACTCCCTGTTTCACTAATCTTTCACGTTTCAAAGGGAACCAATCCATTACACTAGATAACCAATCGATTGTTCCTTGCATTATGGACAAAAATCCCAATTTTAAAAGGAACCAATCGATTACATGCTTGAACCAATCGATTGGTACAAGCTTTTTGTCCCAAAAATTGTAGTTGTAACAAGTGAATTAATCGATTGTTCCATGGGAACCAATCAATTGTTGTCTGGAATTTTATTTTTCTAGAAATTCCACGTTTAACTCATCTTCTTCATCCTTTATCCATTCTAAATCCTACCTAATCATGTTCTAACATGTCCAAGCATCTCATATCACGAACCCAACAACATACATCAATTATATATCGTTAAACACATCATACTACACAGATTAATAATGTATTCTATCAATTAATTACAAAAATTCATAATTATGTTCATGTTATAAAACCCTCAATTTCAAATCAAACATCATGCATATGAACAATTTAACACAATCAATAATCACCACATTCACAGAGCACGAATTTCAATCAATTCATTGCACAACACGGGATCACATTAATGAAATTCATCAAATAACCAATCAAAAGAAAAGGGAAGAAAATCCTATTGGAGGTTAAGAGAAACCTCTCTACCCTTTCATAATTAAGGCACCCTTAAATAAATAAACCCATACCTTGGAGCTTTCTCGATTTCATGAAAGTCATACACATAATTTATTTTACTTTTTGCATATGAGGTTTCTCGATTTCATGAAATTCATACACATGAACTTGCCACACCAAGGAAGAGACAATTTCTTAGATCGACAAGAAAAGTGAACTATGTTCATAGGAGTATATTATATGCTAATAGTCGAGAAAATGTTGTACCATCCAAAACATATCACTTATTAAAAGAACAACTTGGAGGTCACGAAAATGTTGGGCGCACAGAAAATGATCTCCAAAATTGCTTGAGAGATTTAAAGACATTGACTAAAGATTCTGACGCGTGTGTGTTGATAACTTTAAGAGGAAACATAATATATCGGCTTTACTAACAAAATATACTGGTTTCTCTCCTTCCTGCGTCTACTGGACTAAGACAGAACTCATAGCCTTGTCTGATACAGATAGGTATAGAATGAGAGGCTGGTTATCTGTAAGTTATGTGATTTTAGGTTTGGAAGCAATTTTGTTGAAACAAGTACCACATCAAGATGTTGAGCCAGATGTCTTGACATGCTGGTCAGACATCACTGATGGTCAGCACGATGTCGTGACAAGATGTCATAACATGTTATACCAAAAGATTATGGTTTTATATATTTGGGAGATTTGTTATTTAAAGTGTGAGATTCTATATGATTTTAGTTCACACTCTGTCGCAATCCAAGGAGGCTTATTTTAAGAACATTTGTCTATGTCAGAAGTGCATTTGTTTTATAAAAAGGATCTTGGAGACTTTTTAGGAAACTTTCTATTTAGTTCCTGTTTTTGTGCAGAAGATCTTGTAGAAGATTTGAAGCTGTTGGTTTTTGATTTGCGAGTTATTTAGCTAAAGAGCCCAAGCCCATGCTGATCAAAAGCTATAAAATGAGCAGTTCTAAACCTAATGCATTGGAGAAGCGACATATTGAAAGAAAGAGTATTAGGGTTTATTGTGTTTTTATTATTTTTGATCCACTCTTATATCACCTTGATATCTGAGTTGGACTGTGTTGTTTTGCGCATTTGTGAGCCATTCATGTACCTCTTAGGTGCTTGAGTTGGACTGAGTTTTGAGTTGTAATCACTCATAATCTTTTAAGCAAAGAATGGATTTTATTTCATTGGAAGCGTTTCTTCTATTTTTCATTGTTACCGATTTTATCATTGTTGTGTGATTGAGGGAAGTGGAAGGGGTCTCATATCTAGGAGTTCATAGGTAAAAATAACACAGGTAGTGATTAGGTGAGAAGTTGTAAACCAGAGGTTGTTTGTTAAGGCTTCAAACTAATACTATTATAATGGGTTTTCTTCCTAGATTGGATTCCCCCAGATGTAGGTGATGTTGCACCAAACTGGGTTAACAATTGATTGTGTTATTTACATTCTAACATTTAATTTAACTGCATAATTGTTGGTGTTGTTATACTATCCTGATCCCAGTGTCGTGACATCTTACTCGACATCTGGTGTTTGTTATCAGAATTTCAATTGGCATCGGAGCATGCATCCTGTTCTGTTTAGGGTGAGCTCTAGAGATGTTTTGTTCTAGTATTATGGAAAAGGAAGGAGGAAGAATCATTAATAGTCCCCTAGTCTTAGATGGCACCAACTATGACTATTGGAAGGCATGTATGCTGGCTTTCATGAAATCTATGGATAGAAAATCCTAGAAAGCTATAATCAAGGGTTGGGAACATCTTGTGATTTAGGACAAATATGGGAAGGAGTCCTTGAAGGAAGAAGAGGATTGGACTAAGGAAGAAGATGAAAATGCTCTTGGAAACTCCGAAGCTCTGAATGTCATATTCAATGTTGTTGACCAAAACATGTCCAGGTTAGTAAATACATGTGTTATGGCCAAAGATGCTTGGGAAATTCTTAATACCACTCATGGAGGCACATCTAAGGTGAAGATGTCTAGACTTCAGCTGCTTACTACTAGATTTGAAAATCTAAAGATGAAGGATGATGAAAGTATTCATGACTTTCACATGAATGTTCTTGAAATAGCTAATGTCGTTAGTGCTTTGGGAGAAAAGATATCAGAAGAAAATCTGGTTAGGAAGATTCTCATATCTCTTCCTAAGAGATTCTCATATCTGCTTGGAAGGCAAATCAATCAGGTGCTGAAGAGAATGGACAAAAAGTCAAGGCCTAATGTCAAGAACATCGTATTTGACATCAGCAAAAACTATGATTCTCAAAGAAAAGCAAGAACAGAAGAAAGGTCCAATCAAAGTAAAGGGGTTCAGTGTCATGAATGTGAAGTCTTAGGACATATTAGAGCAGAATGTCCTACCTATCTCAGGAAAAAAACAAAAGGGGCTGTCAATGTCTTGGTCTGATGATGAAAGTAAAACTGAGGATGAATCTGTTAAGCTTGTAACTGCTCTCTAACTGGAAGTTGGGCATCTGATGTAGATTAATGTGATGAAGAAACTTCATATGCTGAAATGGCTTCTTCTTACAAAGATTTGTGCATCAGAAGTAACAAGCAGAAGGAAACAATTTCTCAACTTTAGATTGAAAAGGAAAAATATACATCCACCATCTATGGGTTGCGGGATGAGGTAACTCTATTAACTTCCAAACTTGAAAATATGACCAAGTTTATAAGAATGTTGAACAATGGTTCTAATATGTTAGATGAAATTCTTCAAGTTGGAAAAAGTGCTGGTAACTTAAAAGGTATAGATTTTGATTCTCAACCTCTGAAAGGAGACACCCATGTAACAAAATGTGTTTCTCCTGGAAGGAAGCATGAGAAAATGATGTCAAATCAAATGTCTTGACATCGTGTCAGACACCAGAATAATCAAGTTGGAGGCAAGGCCTTGCATTGGAGATGTTAGAAATAAATGGATTCCCAAGGAAGTTACTACTTCATTTATTCCTCACACTTCTCTCAGAGCTTCAGCTAAAGAAGACTAGTAGTTTGACAGTGGATGTTCTAGACATATGA